CTTAGCAGAGGGGGAAAGCCAATCTGAAAAAAAAAAAAATCAAGTTGGAAAATGCAGACATTATCATAGACATTTTTGTTCTAATTTAGAACATGCTAACATCTTAATGTAGTGCTCAGACATTTGTAGTGAATTGAAAGACTGTTCTGAGCTTTGAAATCCATTTTTCAAAAGTCTTCAAGCAAATTCAAGATAAGGTCCAGTCAAATTCAGGATCAAAGAACCTTGCTTTTCCTGGTATCTGTTAGTTTTGTTTTCTCAAAATACGGCAGTGAAGGACACATTAGTAGGATAGCATGTATAAGGAGAGGAGGCACATATCACAGTTCAACAAAACACTAAAGCACACTATGCAGAAAGCTTTCCCTTCAGTAAGCAACAAAGTAGCATGCTTTAGCTGGTAACAAGTAACCTCGACTAAAGGGATAGACTTGTTCTCTGCTTCACTTGGTTTCCACTTAAAGGGGAAGAAAAAAGGGAATTTCTGGGCCGCAAGAGTCTTTCTACATAGTGCAAGGTGGTAATAAACAATAGGGTTGTTTCTGGCAGTTATTCTTGAAAATAGCATCTGAAAATTAGATGCAAGTTCTATACTCACCTTTATGTAATCAATTCCTAGACTTTCATCATCAGATTGTGTATCTATTTCCGAGTATATTCTTTCACCCAGGCAGAACTTCTTCCAGCCTTCTTCATCCTCTGGTTTTGGCTAAAAATAAATAAAAACTATGAAATACTGCTATATTGAAGACACCAAAGAAAAGACTTGATAATATGATCAAGATGTTGCATTAGATTATAAAGCAAGATTAATCATGGGTTTAATGACCTGAACACCTGCCCCCCCCACACTGCTATTTACTCACCATAGTAACATTGCTGTCCAAATGTTGTGACTGCCAGTGATTTCGGTGCTTGTTCAGGCTCTGAGTAGTTAAAACAAAACCACAGTTCAACTTTTTGTCCTAGCCATAGCTACTCTTCATTGTCCTTAAAATGCATAAAAAGTCTATTTTATGATGTTCTATAAAATCCGTAGAGGCATAACTGGCCAAACAGTTGCCATGCCTCTTAGTATAAATGAAACTAAGCTGCTCATGCTGGGTTTTTGGAAGTAACGTTAAAGCTGGAGGAATTTTAAAGCCTTTAAAGCTTATGAAAAAAGCTGATTTAGTCCAAAACCACACATAAAGCCAACATCCTGTTTCTAGCAGTGGTCTGTATCTCTATCAGATATCTACAGAACTGCTAGAAAAAAGTGTGCTTCCCTAGGGTATTTCTTCTACCTGACAGGGATGCCATATAATAAAGCCTGGCCTGCTGGACAGTTTCCTGTACAGAGTGTAAACTTTTTGTAAAGAAGGAATTTCCTCCCAACTCAATTGTTATTGTAGCAGTAAAAGCGACTGCTAAAAATGCTGTGTGTAACAGCAGCTAATGCATAGTGTTTGAACAAGTAACTTCTGATTCTCTTTTTATTCTTAGATATTTTTTAGAATACTGTAATACTTCAAAGTGTTAATTTTGGCACAGATGAGCAGACAACTCATTTAGGTATAAAAGGAGTATCTATACAATGAATATACCTTTAGATGTAAGTTTGCTTATTCTACTAAAACCTCAGATTATGCACAATACGTATTACGCAATGTGATGCCTTGTAGAAATAAGGGCTAGCTCAGTTAATGTTTACATTGTAGATGCAGCAGTACAGACTCCCACCTTCACTGATTTATTTCTCTGACAAAACAGGGTAAATGAGCCCATGCAAAACTGAGTGCTACAGCAGCTTCAGTGCAGTTGGCTATTTAAGAGCAGCGTGCAGTATGAAAAAGTTTGTGCTAACACAAACTTCCAAATACATTTTACTAAGTCAGTATCTCTCCTTGTAATGGGTGCCACCACTGTCAATATTCTACCTGAACACTGTGTTGTATATACATGAATCTCCTCATGGGTTAGAATCCACTTGTTTTTTCAGTTGATGTTGAGTTCTGTAGAACATTCCTGCTGGCACTAGGTTTTAATATAACCAGATAACATCACAGGGGCTTATGTTCTCCCTCAGCTACTCAACATCATTTAATCTAAACACCAACAGGTATTTTGCTGAAGTGAAAGCAGATTTTTTTCTTTAAACATGACTCATGAGTTTTACCAACAGTTTAAAAGCCACATAGCATATGAATTTATTTCCCCCCAAGAACTTAAAACATTTGCCTACAAACATCTATCCTACCATAAAGTCGTAACACTTCTGTACTAGATGGGAGGTTGTCCCCCATAAACAAAGGAGTGTTCTATCCACAGTCCTTTGACCCCCTCTCATTTTGTACCTGACGAACAGCTGAGAAATTGGCCACTTGCTGCTGCTGCCACTTGAGCGTTGGGGAGTATCCTTCAGGAGCAGGCTGACATCCAGAAATCTAAGAAAACACTGGCAATAATTACAATGCAAAGAAAGCTTTGTAAGAAGAATCCTTAAGAACAAGAGAGTCAGTAAACATTTACTATCAGGTAGACAATACTCTTTAAATCTTCATTTAAGAAAGGTAATTCCATGACCACATCCGAGACTGACTTACCAATTGGTTTAGAAAAAATTTCTTCTGACTCCTCTTGTATACAAATAAGAAGAAAACTTAAGTATTCAAAATACATTGTCAATTACTTAAGGTCTTCTTTCTAGCAATGCTCTGCTTTAAATTTCCCTGTTTATAAAAAGCAGGGTGCTATCTCGGACAGTTGCTATGAATCTGAAGTATTCTACTTGGCAAGATAGCAAGTCAAGGAAGAAAGAACACCACAAAAATATGTTTTAGAATTAACTGACAGTTAAGTAGATACAACCTCTTTAAAGATAAAGATGAAAGAGTTATTAAAAAACAACAAACAACTTTCTGCAAATGTTTAAGAACATCACTACAAAGACAAATGAAGAGATGGTCACAGAAGTTACATGGCTGTATGTCAATACTGAAAATTTTTTTTGAGCAATGTACTAGTGACATTTCAGATTACAGAGTTTTCACTTGAGAAAGAAAATCTTGGTCTGTCAGACAACTTGACAGTAGATAGAAAATCAAGCCGGCAGGGGCAATGAGACAACAAAAAAAATCTACTTGGGCAGTCAGGAAATAGTGCAATAAAATATTACACCAAAAAGGAAAGAAGCAGTGCTAAAATTTCATCTAACTTTAGTAAAGTATAGCTCTATGTACTGCCCTTACCCTAGATACATATTTAAACCCAAACATAAATATGGAGATAGCTTCCTGAAGTTTATGGAGGTTTTATGATTAAGTATTTGTGAAATTTAATTCAATATTAGATTTCCTGAGACAAACAGAACAGCTTGCTGGGTATCAAGTAGCATAGACGTTATCAGTTTAGAGCAATTATAAAGCCTGCTGTTACCCAGCAGTGGAACAGATGTTTCTTCAAACCCTGACATTTAATCTAATCCTGTAGATGCTTTAAGATCCAGCAGTGCTATTTAGTTATGCCAAATATTCCCCAAAGTAGTAAAACCTTTATATTAACATCTTTCCCATTTTTTTCTCTCAAAAAAACCCCAACAAAACAACCCAAAAAACAACCCAAAACAACGTGTAAAAGTTTTCAGACTTACTGAAACATTCACTGTCTGCTTCTTCCTCAGTTTTCTGGGGTCTATTTGCGCCACAACCACATCTGGACATCGAGCTGCTTCAATCCTACAAAATAAAATCCAGATTTTCCTGTTCCTAACAGGTGGTCATATTCAGCACACCTCTGAAAGACGGCACCTGCATAAATCTTCAGGTATGTAAGACACTAGACACAGCGGGAATTCTTACGGAAAATTTGACTTGAGAGTGATAGGTCAAGTACTCTCAGCTCCTACACAGCTGCTCCAGCCACTTCGGAGCTTGCTCATGCTCTAACCCGCCTATAAACCGCGCACCGCTTCCCACAGCGAGGCCTCGGGAGGCCTCGCACAGCGACTGGCACGGAGAGCCGGGCGCCAGGGCTCCCTCCTCCAGGGGAAAACCAAGCAGCAGCGGTCCCGGAGCTGCAAATAGTGCCGAGAGACAAACCGCGTCCGCGACGCGGCCCCGGCGAAGCAGCAGCAGCCTCACAGCAAACGTGCAAGTTTAGCTGCGATGCCGGACGGGATCCCGCTGCGCAGGGAGCACCGGCGAAACGGCTCTTCTGGCTGCGGCTGGCGGGCTAACGGCCGCACAACAACGCGAAACTCAACCCGGGCAGCACAGGCTGCTGCGCCGCTCACAGGCAGGTGACACCAGCCCAACCGCCACTCACTGGACGCGCTTCAGATACTCCTGGGGTGTCCTGGGAGGCACCGTGGGGTCGAAGTCCTCAGCCAAATCACAGTCTTCCACAGGCAATAGTCGCGGCATCAACTCCTCCATACCCGACTCCATGGCCTCACCACCACCGCTACGAACACCCCGCGTCAGCAGACCCCGCCTCGCCGGGTGCCACTAGGAGGCGGTGCGAGTGGTTCTCGCGAGAACTACGGGACTGGGCTGGACCCTCCCCTGCACCCCGTGGCGGCTGCCTGTGCGGTAGGGGCGGGTGCGTCTTGAGGCAGTGTGATACGTGGTCTTGCCCACGTGCTGCCCATCAAACCAGAACGAGATGCTGTTTAAAGTCCCTTCCAACCCAAACCATTCTGTAATTCTGCAGTTCCTTGAAATGCTTTGGGATTTATGATTGAAATCAGCTGCGTAAAAGTTGACTGCTATAAATTTAAACAGATAATCTGTAAGGGTTAATGCCTGAGTTTTTATTTTGTTGTTGTATAGTGGGAGTATCTACATGCCAAATTGAAAATGAGGTAGCATTAGCACAAAGGGGGATTGTTTCTTAGTTAAGATAAAAAGTGGAAAGATAATGCTGTAATAATTTACATTGTGTATTATGAAATCCCTGTTACACAAAATATCAATCTGTATATTATTTTGCCCATTGGTTCTGCTGCATGCAAAGTCAGTTTAGTGCTACCCACAGTCCATCTAGCAGATCAGAGTTGCTCTATCACTTCTGATACCAGTTCAGAAAGAGCAATGCTTTTTCTTCCACAAGGCTGTTTTAGCAGTTCTGAACAAACATCTACCTTAACTCCTCCTCTCCACTGGCTTTTGTTTGTTCTAAGGTGTTTCCAGAGCCACTTACGTGTAACAAAGAGTTTTAATTCTGAAACCCGGATCTAATGTCCTAGTTGAGGACCACGCAGCTGCTGCAGTCACCACGGGATATAATACCTGCTTAGCTAAAACTACTGTGATACTTCTGCAAAGGCTGACCAATGGGCAAGACAAAAACTTCGGTGAGTCCACCTGTAAAAAGTTTTTTTCGTTTACTTCAGTAATATTCAGAACTTATTTTTTCTGTTTGTCATGAAGTCAAGAACTGTGAACAGAAAAAGAATCCACAGATATAAACACAGGTTAAATAACTTTCTATCCTTAGATTTCTTTTTCTGGAACTTTCCATTTATACATTTAAAATGAAATAACGTATTTTTAATTATTACAGGGAGTCTTCCATGGATAATAAAATCGCTTCTAGCAAGTTTTACCAACATGTTGATGCAGTGGCTAGCAAATATGACTCAGTGGAAGAAGAGGAAGAAACTAGGAATGAATATTCTTTCTCCTCAACTGCCTAGGCCTCATGGAAGAGTACTTTCCCAAAGAAAGGGTGAGTTGTCATCAGCGGACATACACTGCTGAGGGAAAAAACAAAACAACTAACACATGAACAGAAAATTCTACATTAAAAAAAATTAAATGCTTTAACTCTACCCTCTAAGATTGGGAGATAATAAAGTATTTTACTATAATGAGTATACACTGTGTTAGGATCCTATTTTCTGTTCCATTGTTTTGCTTCTCCTTGCTTTTCTCTGTGGTTTGCACCATCCTAACAGCTGCAAGACATAAGTTTAAAGCACTGGCTTGAGTCATGATGTAATGAAATTTAATTGTGCTAATGACTGATTAAGACTGTTTATACCTTTCATTTGTAGTGGACTTTCAGAATAGTATACTTTCCTGTTCTTTCTTCTCCCCTTTTAAGTGTCAGTTGCCTCTTTTTCTCTCGCAGCCTACAGATTTCATCCTGCAATTCCGACTTTGGGATTTGCCTCTTTTCAGTGTAACTTTCTGAGAATGTTTCACATAGTGTTTGAGTACTTTTTAAATTACAACACTGAACTGCTTTCTGTGCGTCTGTCTGAAGTTACTTTGCCACGTTGTGCATTTTGGTGGGGGTGGGTGTTTTTCATAAACTGAAGAGGTTGCGTGTCCTTGGCAAGCTCCTGCTTTAATACTCCCACACCTGGCAGTGGTACTTGCGGATGTGAAAATTTAACATCCCTCCCTTTAAGTTCTTCTGTTGTTTACCTAGCCATGTTTTTGGACTGAAGAGGACTGGTAAATGTTACTGGAAATAGTAGTGTGATAGAAATTCTATCATGATTACATCTGATGCATTAGAAAAGAGAACACGTATGTTTTAGTTGTTTAGTTGGTGGTCATAGAATGTTTTCAGAGTCACAGTGGAGGAGGACATGGTAGCCCATAGAATCTCCTCCACGTCTGTGTTTGTCGCACTGAGTTATCTCAGGAAAGACAGAAGCTACTGCTCCAGCCTTTTGTGGCAGGCTTGTTTAAAACGATTCTGAAGTGCACGGTGTCACCCTTGCTTGGGCTGGGGGTAGGGTGTGGGATAACCACGCTGGCAAACTGGGCAAAACTGTATGGTTACATTTACGTGAAAGTTACTGTGTGGATAGTAAATAAACGTATTTTATTGCTAAATAGTTATGAAGTAAAGCACTCTATCAGGCTAAACCCAGCAGGAATATCATTCCAGTATCTTTTTTTCCCAGGCAGTCCAAAGAGTGAGACTGGAAGAAACGATCTTCAGAGACAGCTGGAAGTCGAGCAAGGAATTAAAAACACAAGCACACAAACGGGCAGGAGCCGTGGGGACGGTGAAGATCAGCGCTGTGGGATACCTGACGCCGACCCCGCTCCACTCTCCGGGGTACAGGCCGGGAGCCGATGGCAGCCGGGCACTGCACCAGGCCGGGGGGAACCGTGGCGCTCAGCCCGCCCCCCGCTCTCTGCCCCTTGACGTGGCGCGGCTTCTCCTATCGGCCATGTTGGCTGCGTCGGCAGCGCCGGGGCGGGTGTGTGTGTGCGTGGACTGCGAGAGAGGTGGCGGCGGCCGGTGCGAGGTGAGTGAGCAGGGCAGGGGCTGAGGAGGCAGCGGAGGGTGTGGGGGGCTGGAAGAAGGCCATGGGAGGAGAGCTTTTCGCCGGGGACGTGGCGCTGCGCGGGTATGGGGGGCACTCCGGGCAGTGGGGCCGCCGCCCGGCTGCTACCCCAGGAGGGAGCGTGGTGGGGAGCTCCCCGCCTCCCCTTACGAGGCTTCGGGCGCTTACAACGCTCTCCGTGGCGGTGGGGGGGGTGGGGGATCCCCCTGCGGCCGGAAGCTGCTCTCGGGGCCCTGAGGGGCTGGGGGTCCCGCCGGTGGCTGGTCAGCGCTGCCCGCCGTGTCCGTGGCGGTGAAGCCCTGCTGGGGCCGTGGGAGCAGCCGCCCAGAGCCCCGTTCTCTGCAGGGTCTGCCGGCACCCGGGTAGGGCCGGCGGGGCACGGCCTCAGCGTGGCCTCCGCTCCGCCGGGTGTAAAGTGCGGCTCAGTTCTGCCGCGGCTGCCCTGTCCTGGAGTTCCTCCTTGGAGCTGACAGCGATGTCTTGAGGTATCAGTAAAACTACATAGAAATCGTGTATAGGCAGGCCCTGCTGCCTTTTTATATGGGGTTTTTAATTTAGGTGGGGTGTTACATACACTGCTTGTTTAAAAAAGAAAAAAGTCCTCAGTTAACATACCTGGGCGAGCAGGTTTGGATGGTGGCTGTGTTTGAGTAGCCAAAATGAAATTCTCATGTTGTCACTTTGAGAAGTTGTGGTTGGTTTAGATAACTATTAAGTTGTTCTCCTTATATATTGATGAATTCCTCCTTGGAACTGAAATAGATTTGTGTCTGAAATGCTGATTTTGGCATGAGAAATTAAGTGAAGATTTATTATTAATCTCAATTTGCCAGATTATGAGTTTATAATAAACTGGTTTGTTTTAAGAAAAGTGCACAGTGAACTGTACTGATTTAGTGGCAGTTAAATATATGGTGAAGTACTTCGATCCATCAGTGCTGGAACCTTTAAAATGCTGTAGAGATAAATGTTTTAATTTTGTTTGTATGTGCTTGCAAGGATTAGTTGATATTATTTTGGTGTTCTTCTGTGCTGGGATACATTTACATGTAGTGTGTAAATGTTAAATGGTGCTGAAATGAAGGAGGGGCTTCAGATTATGAGCTGTTTGCAGTTGTTTCTAGAGGCATTTCAAAATAATGCCGTTTCAAAGTAATGCATTTCAAACCCATTTATTCAGCTACAGGATAGCTTTCCGAATGGTGTGTCAAACACATTTGGTGTGTGTGGTTGTTAGGAAGACCTAACCGTACTCTCGCATCTAGTCAGAATAATTACATAAATACTATTGTTTGCCTGAGAATCAGGCCTTCAGAGTCAGGTATCATCAGCCTGTGACATTATGCAATTCAGGTGTGGCTTCTTTCTGTGACAGAGTGAGATTGCCATGGTGCAGGGACATGAGGTAAATCTAGCTTCAGCAACGGGAGTGAGGCAGCAAGCCAGGATGGAATAACTAGTGGTCTTGTTGGGATGTCCTCTTCTGCAGCAAAGCTAAAGCAGTGATACCCGAACATGGGAGCTATTGCTGTTCAGCTCTTCTGAAAATCACTTGTCTGTGTTTTTGGAGGTGGCAACACGTGTTTTCTGGCATTCAGGTGTATGAGGTTTGGTATGTAGCCTGTCGGTCAGGAGGGTTTACTCTTCTGGTCCAATGTAATACATCTCCACACGTCTCCCAGAAAATGTGCCTGCATAGTTGTAGCAGTGGTGCTGAAATGTAAAGGAACTTGCCAGACTGTGAGTTTCACATCTAGTGAAGGATAAAATATGTCAGCATTATTGGCTCTTGGAAAGGAAGAAAAGAATGGAAGAAAAGGTGGAGGAAAACTTATTAGCAAGTTCTGCCTTCTGAACAGGAAATACACACTGTACTAGAAAGCAACAGTATTTTACTCAGTAAATCCAACAAATCTTTTATGATACATATGCACTTTATTAGTCACTGCACACTGGTGTTTGTACATGGCCTTCTGAGGAGAATTAACTGAGTAGTAAAAATAATGCCCACATAAAGCCATTTCAGACATAGCTGGAATGAAATGTGGAGACTTCAAAGTCCAGTGCAGGAAGTGGGAGTTCATGTTGCAGTGTATGGAGATGGAGTTGGTGGACTTTGTAGCAGATGCCTATGGAATACCTGAAATAGCCTTTAAGTTGTAATTTCTTCTTCTCAGGGAGAGAATGTGGATATAATACACAGGTGACAGCATCTGTGGAAAACTTTGAGAAGGGTACTCTGTTAAGTTTGCCTGTTAGTCTGTATTCTATAGGAACAATTTTTAGACAGCTTTTTTTGTACCTATCATCACATGCTGACAGTTGATTATTTCCTAATAATGCTAACTGTGGAATGTGCAGCTTCTCTTTGGTTTGTGGATGTTGCTTTTTCTTAAAAGTCAGCATTAGAATAAAATCATCAAATTAAACTGTGATTTAAAAGAACTAGAAAAGCTTTTAGCAGTCATAGAAATTAAAGGTGCCATGCCATTATAGTTTTGATAAAGAGAGCTAGGTCTTCATAAATGGAGTTTCCAGGAGTCTCCCTTAGCATATGAAATTGCAGGACTAAGAAGGTGAGTGTGCTTTTGAGAATTCCTGATTTAAATCTCAATTCAAGAGGATTACAGTGTTTCTAAAAGCTGTTCATTAACTTAGTAGAGTCTAAATTGAGACCTGTGAGTATTTTTCCAGACTGCTTTCTAAGGTGGTTCATGTAGGCTTTTACAGTGCATTCTTATTAGGCAGCGGGTGTTCAGCTGTTCTAGTTACTGGAAAAACCTGTGCTGTATGTGCTCTAAAATGTATTTGGAAGCATGCAGCAGGTCAGGAGCAGTGTATATATTGCTGGGGGTTTTGGGGCTGGGGGGAGAGGGCGTACTTGCTGACTTTCCCAGATCTTCACAGGTACCTTTTGAGCTTTTCAGATAAACCTGTGTTCCCCAGTGCTTGAGTTTCTGAGTAACTAGCTTAGAAAGCCTTAAGTTGGTGCCCGAAATGGTAAATTTAAGTTCAGTTGTTGAAGGGCGAATCTTGATGGGTAATGTAGTGGAGTATGATACTTGTATTTCTGACAGTTATTTCCTAGCACTGCTTTAGGAATGTACTGTTGTGGAGTATCGTGTTGCTATTCCTTTATATTTACATGTTTACAGGCTGCATCATGAGTTACTGAAAATATGGTTAGAAAACTCTTACAAAATTTGTACAGCAGAAGTCATAAACCAAGTACACTTAGAAGAAACATGTTTGATTCTTAAAAGAAGTCAGAGGATTAAATAGTTTGCAAGAATGAATGATTCTTGAATAATGAACAGAATGAATAACTAAACACATTAGTGAAAGTCCTTAAAGCAGTGTGTATTTTTTTTGTTGTAAGCAAGTCTTTTTTTTATCATGTGTGCTGCATGATCTCTACACTTACCATAGAGTTATTGCTTTAGTTCCAATATTCCTTACCTGAGTTTGTTGCTTAAGTCAGGAAATTATCAGAAGATGGACTATTTAATGCTATGTATTTAACTTGTAACATGAGATACTTATTCTGAAGAATTTGCTGCATCCTAGGAGTCCTGATTTTCTTTTATTTCACCTTGGAATTCTGTGCATTGCTTTTAGTACTTAAGAAGTGTTACTCAGTTTGATTGTAACTCAGTTACTGTATTTGAATGTGTGACTGTCATTAAGTGCATTCAGTGGTTAAAAATGTTTGCATTTCAACGTTCTAATGGTTATCTTTTTGTTTTAGTGACAAACAGAAAAGTTGGCCATGACAACGTTCCTGGAATTTATCCAGCAGAATGAGGACAGAGATGGAGTTAGGTTCAGCTGGAATGTTTGGCCTTCAAGTCGTCTTGAAGCCACAAGAATGGTAGTCCCGGTGGCTGCCCTCTTCACGCCATTGAAGGAACGGCCAGACTTGCCTCCTATTCAATATGAGCCAGTTTTGTGCAGTAGGACCACGTGTCGAGCCGTTCTGAATCCCTTATGGTAAATCTAATACATATGTTATGCCAATATTTTACCTTACAGTCTTTAGGATAGTACCAGTTAAATGATGCAAAAGATCTGGTGTATTGAGGCATTCCTCACATGAGTATACAGATCAGACTTACAGATCTTAAAAGTTTCTGCATGTACATTTGCATATGTAATTTACATCCTTAAAATGTAGCTTTCATTTAACCAGTCTTTTCAACATATTTAATTTAATTGATGATGAGGTATGTTATTTTTCAGGATCATCCTGTGAGTTAGTGTACTTCTGCATTTTGCCTCTAGAAAATTACTTGGATAAAAAAATTATTATGCTGTGTCTTTTTAACTATTAGGCCCTGATGTTGTTGAATTTCCAAGTGAAATAAATTCTTTTACTGTCCTTAGATCAGTTTAGTTTAGTTTAGTTTACCAGAACAGAAGCTGAAAGATGTGATAGATAGATAGATATATCAGAAGTAGACATGAGAGAAGGTGAAAAGCTATTTAAGCTGAAGGGTGATAGTAGCACAAGCATTAGTGATTGTGGCCTGGTCATGGATAAATTTCACTTGGAAGCAGAGAAAGTGTTTCATATGTCATTCCAATCACAGAAATATGGAAAAGAAACAGATCAGTTTTTAAGGTGGAGTTTGATAGGCATATGAAAAGGTACTGAGCGATAGTGAGAGATTAGACATGGTGTAAAAGATCCTGGAGAACAAACTTGATTTTATGAACAACTT